AGTGAACCAATTTCTTAGCACCAGAGTTCTGAATTTTTCTGGTTTGGTCTAAGCAAATCCTGCACTTTTTCTTGATTTATTGTTATCAATAGCATGATCTTTATAGAACAAAAATTAATTACCTACTTACATATCAAAAGTATTAATACTTAAGATGATTTATATAAATAGCTCTTCGGCCTTGTTTATGTAGGAAGTATAGCTACAAATGAAGAGATAGCAACAGAGAACTTGAGAGCAACTTGGATATGAGAAAATATTATTGGAACAAAATGATAGTTTCTTACAGTTGGAAAATTGAATATTACATGTTAGATTGACAACTCAAATATTTACAGAACAACAATAATAAAGGGGGAGACGCTGTCAGACGGCAAGGTAAATAGAAAAGTAAAAATTATGTCAATAAAAGAATGTTACAAGGATAAATATTTTACCTAAGAAACTATATTTAGCTACTTCATTGCTGAGATCATGTTAGTTCTGACTGTGACACTCATAACCATTTAAGACAGCAGAAGAAAGTTTCAGGTATGTATTTCTTGCCCTACTTCTACATTGGAAGTGAACGGTGTGCACATCTGAAAGGCATCACTTTTTTCCCTGCAAATATGAGTTTCTAAACCATCTCATAAGCTATCAGGCATATTTTCTTGTTCATTCCTTCTGTGGGCAGAGGCAGACAGATTGCTGGATCAGATAGTGCAATACGCTGTATACTGCATTTGAAATGTGCCTTTTTTTAAAGCAGCAGATTTATTGATTTTCTTAAGTAGAAAATATGCACCCGGACATTAGACAAACACAGACTAAACACAGACTGAGGAAAAGCTGATAATTTGATTAAACTGACTGAGCTTTTGTTGTCTGTGTTTGGGGAATTTCCAATAATGCACAAGTGCCAAGCGTCCCTCTTCCTCTGAATTTAACAAATCTAATCCCTAAGCACAATGAATTTTACAATTATGCTGTATTTGGAGAATTGTTTATCTTTAGAACAATATTTTGATGGACTCATATATTGCATACCTTAAAAGGAAGGTGGGGTGAAAATCTTGCCTTGCTCAAGATATAGGACTTTACTCAGAAAGGGGTAAGTATTGGCCAGGCGAAAACCATTTGGTATTAATGCTATTGCTGCTGATGTATGTTTATAATAATACTGGTAATAACATGAGTTTCATTCTGTGAATACCAATGTGCTATTTTGTTTAGTCTTATCTTAATTAAAAATAATTTTTAGGCCGGGCGCTGTGGCTCACGCCTGTAATCCTAGCTCTTGGGAGGCCGAGGCGGGCGGATTGCTCAAGGTCAGGAGTTCAAAACCAGCCTGAGCAAGAGCGAGACCTCGTCTCTACTATAAATAGAAAGAAATTAATTGGCCAACTGATATATATATAAAAAATTAGCCGGGCATGGTGGCGCATGCCTGTAGTCCCAGCTACTCGGGAGGCTGAGGCAGGAGGATCGCTTGAGCCCAGGAGTTTGAGGTTGCTGTGAGCTAGGCTGACGCCATGGCACTCACTCTAGCCTGGACAACAAAGCGAGACTCTGTCTCAAAAAAAAAAAAAAAAAATAATTTTTAAAATGTCTAAGAAATACTTTATATCTATCTCTTATTTGCATAAATGCAAATAAATCACCATTTTTATTTTAGTTTTAAAGCATCCTTAAGTATTTGAATAATCAAGGATACTGAGATATAATTGATTAAATGTAATTTGCTCAATTTGGGGGTAGAATTGAGTTAAATATTTAAGGTTTATAATGCTTCACTGTGTAATATCATTTCACATATCTTAGAGAGCAGTTTGATTGTCTTGAGATGTCAAAAAGCTCAAGTTATTTAATTTACCTTTGCGGATGCCTGAGATGAAATTATTGGCAGCAGGTGTGTGTGTGGGTGTGGAGCAACAGGGATAAGGGAGTAATAGCTAAAAGTATGTGAGGATTGCTGAGTTTTATGAGTTAGTTGAATGAGACCTTGTGAACCCTAACCCCTCTGAACTGTCCTTGTATATATTTTTTTCTCATTTATACCATGATATTTAGAACAAAATCTAATTCCTCAATATTCTGCAAGGCCCATGCTGTAAAATAACCATTCCCAGCTGCTTAAACACAGACTTTCACCTTTAGTATTTCCTAGGCCTTCACTTGCTAAGTTTTCAATTATTTTTGCATATTGTTCTATACCTTCTATTAATCATTCTTTCACATGATATTTTGTTCCTTTTCTTCCACTGGCTCAATTATCAGGTTTTTATGTCTTCTCATAATTCTATTTCCCCTCTTTCCAATTTATGTCTACTCAGTTCATATTGGATATCTCTTCCAGAACTCTCCACTCCAGCTCATTTGGCTAATAGATATTTGATCACAGCTTTTCACAAATTCCTGTGCTTATATTTGAAACTCTGGATTCTTTTCCTCAGCCTACATTATACATTTTTTCTAAGCAGAGACTTAGACCCCAAATAGGTAATCATACTGGTAACCAGGTATAGTCACAAACCAGAAGTCATCAGTTTCTTAACAACTGCTGATCACCAATGGGTCAGCTAAAGTATAAGCAAGATAATTTTAATCCTGCTTTTAGTGACTTATCAATATGCATTTCAATTCCAGAAATAATTCTTTCTACATTTCTTTTAAGTCAAGAATAGTTGTGACAAACTAAGGTAACACTGAAGTTTAAAATCATTTTTCCTTCCTTGCATTATGATAGGAATTTATTGAATGATTGATCTCAGTTGGCTTGAGGATGTTTAAACAAAGCCACATCGGAGACAGATTTAAGGATAATTTAAACCTATACTCTTTCTGATTTGCCTGTCTGCCTTTTAAGTGTATGGCAAAGACAACTTCCACCAATACTTTTTCACCGTGCATGAACTCATTAGGGAAAATAACATGTAAGGAAAAACAAGCTGCCAATTTTTAGACAAAGGACATTTTATGAGATGTGTGGGTCTTATCCCAATAACTTTCAATGGCAATTCAAATATATCTCATCTTATTTCATAATTTATAATTTTAGCCTTTAGAAATTATATATATATGTATGTGTATAAACAGATTCTTGTCAGTGTTCTAAGAACTCAATCATATGCAACCACATTATAACCCTTTTTAATTCAATACACATTTTCTTGCTCTTTCAACCTGCCCCTTTGAAAAGAATCTGGGGGAAAAATAGTTTTCACTAACTGTATCAAATATGACATTTAGATGCCTAATATTGAGATGATAATTTTCTTTAGAGAAGTCAGTCTGTGAGGTTGAATGACTAGAATTCAGGAAACCTATATTCACCTTGTAATTCTACCTTGGGAAACTCATTTTACTTTTTCTCCATCTCTATTTCCTCATCTGCAAAATAACAAAGTTAGAATGAATGTCCCTTCCAAATGAGGGTTCTAAAGTAATAAAATTTGTGTTCTATGGATTTTTATTTTTCTTTGTTAAGACTTTCTCTTTTTTTGGCAATGGTGAAACTCTTTGAACTTAATAATTAGGGCTGTCACTACATTCTCAGATGTCGGGGTATTTAGTGAAACTCCTACTTCCCACACTCTATGAAGCCTAACTCAAATCAAGAAGCTGGGCTGTGGGTGGTGTAGGTGAGCATTCTAGCAGCACATAGGAAGCTTTACCAGAAAGTATCAACTGAAAGGAAGCACACGTGGAAATATCCTGTCACCTATACTGAAACCTCCCACACAGGACTGAGGTCTTTTATGGGTTCTCCCAATCATGGCCACAGACACCTGCCATCCCATCATCAAACTTCTCTTGTCTTTTTCAAAAATGACTAAATATAGACTTCTATGATGCATGTTCTGTTTATGATGCATCTTTTGAATACCCTCAAATAACTAGCTTTTTTTTTACAAAGCGTTATTGTATTTTGTTTTACCCAAAACGTTCCACATAGTTCTTTCTTTATAGTATATAAAATTTCCTGGACTTTGGTGGGATTGAGGAAAAAGAAAGACTTTGTAATCTCTATTAAGGAAATTAGTTTTTGATAGTAGCAATATTATGTCCCATACCTAGATAAATAAGTTTTCCTTACATGTAACCTATTATATTAAATTATTTTAAAAGCAGAGCTTTTAATAACTGGTAGCTCTTTAAAAATCTTAATCTTATCTCTTATCAAAAATAATGCTTGAAGCTCTTACTTGAGGGGGGCGGGGGACATGGGCAATATAAGTAACCTTAACACTGGTACCCCCATAATATGCTAAAATAAAAAAATAAATAATTATTTAGTATAGATTTTAAATTTGTATAGTTTTCTTAGATATAATTATGTTCACAGATATAACATTCATTAAATGGAATATAATTCTATAACAAATTCAATGTAACCAAATGCTAGCTATATTCTCATATCTAAAAAGCCATTATTCTTTTTAAAATTGTATTCTTCCTAATGTAGATATCTATGGTCATGCAAACAAAAATAATAGTAGCCCATTTTGCATGTAAGCATGGAAGTCGTTAGAGAACAGAAGGATATAGTTGCCAATATCATGTCATTCTACCAACAAAATATATTCATAAAACTAAAGGCTGCTTCCTATAATAAGCAATATTGTAATTATTTTAAGTAATCAAAGTAGTCAACCTCTTAAGAAATAAGATCTAGTATTAAAAGTAGAATTTTTCATATTAGTAATTTAATTATTTTATTTTATATTTATTTCAAAGATATTTATCAAGATTTAATCTACATTACTTGACAAATACATATGGTTGCAGATAAATTGTTTGTTGGTAGAGAAGAGGGAAGACATAAATAGGTCTGGTTCTAGACACAAAGTTATTCCTAACCTATTAGAGAACATAAGAAAGGGGTACAAGTAACTAAAGTAGAATGTGGTAAGGAATTTAAATGTAAAACTGTGTGTGCATATGTAATTATGAAAGCTGTGGCAGGAAGAAATAGAGAAAACTTCATGTGAGGTTGACATCTCTGTTTCCCTTTAAAGGGAAAAACATCTCAACCAGTGGACAAAGTGGAGAAGCCTCTTGACCATGTGAAAGCAGCAGCATCACCAATATGTGACTAACCACATCCATTCAAGAATGGTAAGTAGGATTGGGATGTAACGGTGGAGGGTATTTGAAGGCAACTTGTAGCTTATGCATCCCAAAAATTAGGCACAACCTGATGGGTAGTAGGCATTGAAAGCCAGGATAAAGCCTTAGGTTTTGTTTGATTGGCAGTAAGAGACACCAAAGTGGATAAAGAGATGTTAAAATGAGTGGCTTATAATGATGAACTTGGAGACAGGAATGAGCAGTAGAGCCAGAATCATTTAAAAAGAGAATACAATAATGTAGATAAAGTAAAAGTTTGAACAAAATAATGTCAGTAGAAATGAAATGGAGCTGTTGGGTGCGTGAGAATTTCCAGGAGAATCAGAGGTCTTGATGACTGTAAAATATAGTCTATGGGGAAGAATTTGAGAGTTTCAAATTTGAGAATTGAGCTTGGATTTCTAGAAGAGTGATAAAACTATTAACATAAAGCATACATGGGTTGGTAAGGAAAGAAGACAAATATTGTTAAATCAACTTTATACACCTGTTATTTAGGAGACATTCAATGGCACTGGAAAAGTGAATTAGCTATAGCAGTGTGATTGTGATACAGCAGAGTAGGAGAAGCCTAAGTTTTTTTTTTACAGTGGATGAAACAATATAAATAAAATGAAGGCCACATCATGAAGTTGCTAGAGAAGGACGTCAAAGTTAATTGTCCTTATTATTGAAGTATTTCTTTCACCAATTAAAAACTTCTTCATATCTCCCTTTCCTAGGGCTGACCCTCCCCCAAGCTTGAGCTCTTGATGGTGGGCTGAATTATGAAGTTAGAATGAAGGAAGAGTTGGTTGTCATCTTCATAGAGATGAAAGTAAAACCTTTGAAAGTGGATGGTATAATGAAATGCAGAAGGAACAGTAAAGAAAGGCGAAGGAAGTACCAGGGACTTACGCCAAGGCGTAGATGTAGAGAAACTTGGAAAGGAAAGGTAAGAGGCATTGGAGGAGAATCTGGGGAAAAAGTATCAGGACAGTTGACTTTCCTGGAAAGAGGACAAGAGAAGTGGTCAAAAAATCCCAAATGCTTTGGTGAGATTTGTGCAGATAGCTCTGAGAGAAAGAAATCAGAGAAGAGAGTATAAAAAGAGGTTTGGCTCAAGGCAAGATTTTCAGATACTGAAGGGAGACTTAGAAACTATTCTGAGTAAGGCTGATTAGGACAAGGTCAGTACTAGTTGGAGAGTGAGGCAATGAGTAGATAGGATCAAGCTGGCCAATGAAAGAAAAAAAGCAGAAAACAGTGTAGAGAAAGGGCCAGAATTTGTGCCAAACTGGTAATTGTACATAACAATGAAGAAGTTATGTGGAGGGACTTGTTAGAGACAAAGAAGAATTTGTATAAAATAATGTATAGAGCTAATCAACTCCAAAGATGACATTGTAATATCAAAATGCCTGAAAATTTGGAATCTTGGTGATCAAAGTTTATTAGTTCTATTGAAAACTTTGCCATCAAGCTTATGATATCAGGTCTCTGATTTTGAGACAACAGGCTGATATAGACTGAATTGTCTCCTCCCAAAATTTATATGTTGAAGCCCTAACCCTCAATGTGATGGTATTTGGAGAATGGGCTTTTGGGAGGTAATTAAGTTCAGATGAGGTCATGAGGGTGGGGTTCTCATGGTGGATTAGTGCCCATATAAAAACTGACACTAGAGAATTTGCTCTCATTCTGACATGTGCAAACACAGGAAGAAGGTAGCTGTCTACAAGCCAGGAAGAGGCCCCTCACCAGACCATGCTGGCATCCTGATCTTGGACTTTCAGCCTCCATAACTGTAAGGAAATACATTTCTGTTGTTTAAGCCATTTAGTCCATGGTATTTTGTTATGACATCCCAAGTTGGCTAAGACCTAGTCATTTATTTTTTTCCCACAATTTGGGGTATTTATACTTGTAACATCTTATTATATTCTAATTTAAGGTTATAAAACTTTATAAAAAATGAAAGAGAATGCTACTCTCTATAAGGTTTGGATAAAAAAAATATAGTAATTAAAATCAGAAAAAAAGAGAAGAAAAAAATGAAGAAATGAAGGAGAAAATAAATAGAGTCCTATGAAAATTTTTAAATGTCTGGCAAATGTCTCCAAGTAGAATAGACTAAGGGCAATACCAATTGAAATGGGTTGATCTTTTACTATTTCAGGCACCCTCTCAAACTCTTTCAGTTATACTCATAATAACCTTATGAGGAAGGTAAGATAGTATTTCTACCTTCCTTTTATACTGTAAAAATAAGGCCTACAGAGGTAAAATAAAACTTGCCCAAAATTATAATGAAAGAGCAATTATAAAGCAAGCCAATGAAAGAGCTAAGATCATGCTTCTAAAGCATCCAGATGTTTCATAATATTTATCTCAATGACAAACTACTTTCCCTTAATTTTCTTATGTATTTTTTTACGCACACACACATATATATATTCCCCTAATTTTCTTACCGCATTCACATAAAATACTTCATATTAGCACGTACTTCCTACCTCTTAATCTTAAAATGGAGGCTTATATATGAAATGTCTAGGACAAGATTTAGATTTTAGACTTTTAAAATTATGTCCACCATTTAGTTGCCCACCATTTAGTTAAACCATTTAGTTTAATGTCCACCATTTAGTTAAACTCTAATTACTTTTCTATCTTACACAAACCCCCAATGAAGATCTAGTATCTTGATCGATTCAAGTGAAAACAAGGAACTTTTTTATCCCTTGATGTGTGTCTTTTTAATTGTAATTGAGAAAAACCTGCCTATCCAAAATTAGTTGTAACTTTCAAACTTGGATTTAAAAAAAGGAAAAGGTAACTATAACAATCTTCTAAGTGTAAGTTTGACAGTTCAGGTGTGTTGTCATTTAACAGAGCAAGCAATAGGTTCCTATTTTATCTACCCCAGACAGTTTTACACTTAGCTGAGTTTCTTAATGAGAGCTCATTCAGTCCCTCCAAGCATGCTGGCTAGAGCAGTGATTAAGCTAGGCAGCCTATGTCTTATTTAGATTGGGACATTGTGTGACCATAGGATAGAGACACATTTCCTTGGGGTCCTGGGTGGTAGAGGCAAGTAAAATTGTACTAGACAGTCTTTGGAGAAACCTATGGTTTTACATTTCTTCCAAGAGATGAAGAGCAACAGGGAGTGACTTGATTCTGCTGGAGACATTGCCTTGTGGTCCATAACAGGAGACTAAGTCCAGGGCAGTGCTGGCCAACTCTGCCCAAAGCCAGCCCGCATTCATGTGGTTTATCAAGATTATCCCTATGAGTGTCACTGAGGAAACATCATTTAACTTCTTAAAATATCTCCTACAAAACTAAAAGGAAATTACACCAAGTATGACATCTGGGAGTGAGGTGCTCAGCTGCTAAAGACAAGAAATTTAAAGTAAAGCTGCCTCCTCCCGCATTAGATTTTGTTTTTAAAGTTTTTTGGATTCTATGGAAATCTAAGAAGAATACAGACCACCACCAGATTCTAAATTTCTCTATTTTCTATGCAGTCTAATCCCATGTGCTTCAAATATTCCATTGGCAGTTGGTCTGATGATGCAAGCAGAGGAACAGGTTGGTGATTTGAAGTAAAAAAGGAGGCAGAACAACTGACAATTGCTTACAATTTACAGTTGGCCCAGCAGTAAACACAACTTGTAGACTTGCCAGCCTTCTCAAACTGGACATTTTTATCTCCTTTTCTGCACTAGCTGCTCAGAGCCATACCCAAAAGTGCCCTGACACAAAACCACTGGAGGGTGTGGTCTCCGCTTGTCCTGGGCAATGAACAGGGAAGCTATTTATTTCTAGGGCATCTCTGTTCAGTGACTCATGTTTCGACTGGAAAATTGGCCACCGCTTTCTAGCAGCTCTTTCCTGCCAGCTCTCTTGGCATTCCACCCAGTGCTTCCACTGCCCCTCCCCCCTCTCCTTGCCCAGTCTGCTTTTATATTCCTGAAGCCCCCACTTAATAATAGTCATTGTTCCACGTTAACCTTGAGGATCTGGGAGGAAGGACAATGAAGGGCGTAGCTGTATGCTATAATGAGCATTTGGCGCTATAGCAGGTGGAAAAGGCTTTGGGGATCTGGGCAGATTAGGAGGAGAGGGGGCTCTAGCAGATGTTGAAGCAAGATGATGTATTGCTGCTCACTCTGGGATTCAGACAATACCAGTGCAAAAGTAGAACAGGGAAAAGGGGAAAAAATTGATCCCTTCTGATACAAACTGGGCTAGAAACCAGACACACTTGAAAGTGAGCATTTAAGAAAGACAAATTTGTTTCTAGGCCCGGCCCTGGGTTTTCTCCTGTCCTTTTTTCTTTTCTTTTTCTTTTTTGGCTGATGGCAGACCAATTGCCAAGTATTCTTTCAATTTGAATGTTAACTACATCTAGGGATTGACTTATTTCCTATCAGTTTAAGACTCCTATTAATCTGATTTCTTTGTGTTAAAAGAAAAATAGAAATAGATGCATCAACAATTTCATTTTAGCCTGCTTTCAGAACCAAGATACATACAAAGCAAAGGAAAATATCACTTAATGAATGATTGGTTTTACCATTTGAATAAATATATATTTAAAGTTGTTCTTTTGCATTGTGCTAGGCAATGGAATAATAAAGAAAAATGTTGATAAATATTCCACTCACTTTATAAAAAACAATAATGAACCTTAATCTTTATATATTCATGTTGACTACTTTCATTCTCATTTTTAATATTGATTTTTATGTGTTTTATGAATTTCTAGAAATAGAGCTGAATTACCTGGTGTATGTGCTATATGGTTTGCCTAATATTTCATATATATTTGAATATACTCATACACATACATGAATATAATGATTCTGGGCATGGAAGGACAGATAAGAGTTTATCAAATGTAGCCAAAAAAATTACAATCCTAAAACGTTGATAACATTGATGAAGACAGTTACGGTCAAACATATTTAAGGGAATATTATATATGAAGATTTGGCTTGTCAAAAATTAGTCCTAAAAGTATTATCCTCTTCCCTTTTCCTTAGCACTCAATACATTATTCTACTAAATCAATTTGAGTAAAAATCTATCCATTCTTTAAGTTCAAGTAGTAGCAGTTAAGTACTACTATTTACAGTATCATAAATGGGACTTAAATCAAGTCTCATAAAGTTGTAAATGTACTGCCATATCAATAAAGCAATAAAAGTCACTAACCAGTTAGGTAGTTATTAAGAAAGATAAACAAAACTTTTTGTCCTAAAGCTGTTATATCTCCAATTTTGAGGAGTTGGGATGGGAAATGGAAGAATCGTTCAATACTATCAATATAAGATACAGTAATTGGAGTGACTTAATCATTCTATCACCTTTTCTGTTATTAATTTGAATAATTTTAGAATTTATGCACTGAAAAATCAAATTTGTGTGATAGTATGCATTTAAGACTAGTTAGTGTTTTATGGAATATTTCAGAATTGGTACCTTTTACCGTTTCATCTTCGGCAGATAAAATCAGGTAGTTCACTAAGACTTGGGTAATAGAAGATGAAGCGTTAGTGCTAAGATGTCTGATAACTACTGTGTGAAAAATTACTCCATTTTTAGCACCATAAAACGGCAGCCATTTCAGCATGCTCAACACATCCATGGGTCAGGACAAGACAAAGTAGGGAGGGCTTATCTATCTTCAGTTATGTCCAGGGCCTTAATTGGAGAAACCCAAATGCTGGAGGTGACCTATGTTGCTGGGGTGTGGAATAATTTGGAAGCTGCTTCACTCACATGTATGTTGCCTGGGCTGAATAACTTCACATCTGAGCTTAGCTGTGACTATCAACAGCCTGTCCCATGTAACCTCTCCATGTAGTTTGGGCCTTTCAAAAAATGATGTGTGGGATCCAAAAGAGAGCAGCTGGAGAAGGAATATCCAGAGGGCCAGCTGACCAAGAGACAAAGGAAGAAGCTGCAGGGCTCCTTCTGACCTAGCCTCAGAAGGCATGGGGCATCCTTCTAGCCACATTTTATTGGTTTCAAGAGAATCACTAAGGCCAGCCTAGATTCAAGAAGAGAAGAGATTCCACAACTTGTTGGAGGAGTGGCAAGGTCAGGTTGCAGAGGAGCATGTGAGACAGAATTGAAGTTGCAACTGTCTTTGGAAAATACAATGTACAACGTGTCCTTAAAATATATTGTTACCAGTTCTTTTATTTTTTAAGCCATGGTTTAGATTTAAATTCTGAGGATAAAAATATGTGCATATAAATATGATGAGCAATTTTGTAAATATCTGTAGATTTATAAAGTACCAATAGTTGATTGTGGTAGTAAAATATTTTTGTAAGTCTGATAAATCATTTGGAATCCCAGGTTGTCATTCATTAAATGCAGGCATGGATAACTTTCTAAAATCCCTGGGGAGCCTCAAATTTTTTTCACATACCAAATGAGAATGAAAATAATACATGCTTCATAGAGTTATTAGGGTTAAAAGATATTTCGCATTTAAGTCACACAATTCTTAAGTATTAAAAAAATGTTTGTTGTAGGCTGTAGGCATTGTCTGTGATAGTGGAAATAGGAATCCAGACATTTCTACATATGAATAAATGACAGTATTAGTATAATTTGTAACAAATGCTCTAAAATAATAAAATGCCAATTTTTAATACTTAATATTAAAATTTTTATGTCAATTTTTCTGAGATTTACTGAAACCTCCAGTAGTATGATAAATCTTCAAATCATGTAGTTCC